AAGCTTTATTTGTAGACCCAAATGATTTTTTGTAGGTAAGTGTTTAAATTATGGTATATCTGCACTTTGCAATACTATTCAACAATCAGAGAAACAATTCATACAAGCAACTTGAAAGAAACTCAAGTGTCTGATGCTGAGTGAAACTCAATCCCTAAAAGCTACACATGGGTAGAGGGGTACAGGATGGTAGGTTACGGGTGCCCATCCTCACCTGCTGCTCTGTAAGACAGAAGTAGTACAGCTCCAGAGCAGGCATTCCTCTGGGGAGTGACTGGGGAAATGCTAAGGTTCAGTGGTGGACAGAAGTGTGGCCGTGCCAGGCAGAGAGACCATGTGAGCCCGCGGGGAAGGAGTTTCCTTCTCTGAAGTCAAAGAAACCTGTATTCCCCTCCCCCAGGGAGCCAGCAACAACCATTGCCACAACAACTCAGCTGATGTCTGCTGTGAGACCCAGTCAAACCCCAAGGGAGAAAACAGTACTCTGAAAACAGCCTGCAGGAAATTACACATGATGAGAAAACTATGCCACACAGAAGGAAAAGGAGAACACTGTTAAGGTCAGCAGCTCAGAGTCAGGTATAAGGGTGCAGACTTGTAATCCAAGTGCTCTGAGAGACTGCAGCAAGAAGGTTTCAAATTCAAGCCAACCCTGAGTAACTTAGTAACTTTGAGAGACCCTGTTTCTACAACACAAAAAAAACTGCTGGGGATATATAGCTTAGGGCAAAAGCCCTGGGTTCAATCCTAAGGAGAGGAGAGACAGACAGACAGACAGACTGAGACAGAGACAGAGACAGACAGAATGAAGAAAAGAAAGAAAGGTAGAAAAGAAACAAAGAATTTTTTTAAAAGGCAGAAAGGCCACCATTTGGGGAGGTAACTGCAAACTTGCATGATTTAATGTTAATGGATACAATCATACATTAATAAAGGTTTGTATATGTATGTTTCCATTTATATAACACTCCTGAAACGACAAAATTATGAAGATAAAGACAGATTCATCACTGCTGCAGTTTGGCGTAGTCATAGAAGAAGCAGCATGAGCATGGCTGTAAAATGAGAGCAAAGGCAGGCTTGTGAGGAGGGATTGCTCTATACCTTGATGTGGAGTTGGTTATAAGTGTACACACAGATGAAATGACACATAATGTACACACAACAGAACAGAGTCTGTGAGATGCTGTCTTCTAACTGCATGACATAAGATTCAAAATGTCTAAATTTAACAAGTCATCAAAATATCCAGGATGGTGCCATTAAGTTACAATTTCTCAGAAATAGACAACTGACTTGACACTTGCAGCTCCCAGACAGCCTCCCCATCGTAAGTCTGGAGCTGAGCCAGCACTCACACAGACTGGCACCTGAAAGGGTGATGTGCCTCAGAGTCAGGGACACAGGCCCATGTGCCATGGAGTCCTTCACCAGTGCAGTTCTCCCTCGATAGGCTGGCTCTTGCATATGTTTCTGGTCTTCTCCATCCTTGGAGAGGTGGACCACAGTAGAGAAGCAATCTTTGAAGAACCTCACTTCCCTGGTCTCTGCAATTGTCTCAGGAGAAAGCAAGCAGAACACTGTGTCCTCCCAAAGAAGGGCTGCGCAAGTTTATATGGCCTGGTCACCTGCCATTGGCCTGTAGGAGGAAACATAAGGGATCCCTCAGCAAAGTCCGTATCTGTGTGTCCTTTCTGGGGCAGTAGTGAGCTTATGATGTACATGGGTGGGATTTCATCTTGCTCTCATTCCTAAACCCCAGACTTGCACTCACATACCCCTTATATATTAAGATTTTTGTTTTGTTTTTCACTATGCAATCCAGGCTGGCCTTGAATTCACTTTGTAGCCCGACTTGCCTCGAACTCACAGCAATTCTGACTCAGTCTCCCAAGTGTTGGGATTACAGGAGTGTGCCAACACCCAGCACCCTTACATTTTAAAGAATAATTCCATGTCATTAATTTCACTCAGTCTTCAAATATCCTGAGAAGTATGCAGTATTTCAAAATTACTTTTTTTTTTTTTTTTGCAAAGTTGGATATCACATCCAGAGGCTCATGAATGCTAGGCAAATTACTCTACCATTGAGCTATAACAACCCCATGCGCAGTATTAATATTCCTACTTTAAAGGTGTGAAAAACACATCTTTGAGAGTTGATGTAAATTATCAAGAAGCATGGGTCTTAACATTTATAATCCTAGCTACTCCAGAGGCTGAGGAATAAAGATCACAGATTTGAGGCCAGCCCAGATAATTTAGGGTTGGAGAGTGTTGGGGCTGAGTACACGTGCACACATGCAGGGCTGTGGTGTGGCCTGGGCTTGATTGAACTGAGAATGAGGAGACACCTCAGGAAGCAAGACAGGCCACAGCTAAGCCACCTGGCGACTTTCTGGTAGTTTTCCTTAATTAGCATCATCTGTTGCTCTGAGGGGTCCTTGAACCCCTCCCAAGGTCCTGTCCAGATTTCTTCCATTCTCCACTCAACTTCTTGCTTGTTCTGATTAAATACGGGCTGCGTAAGGTCAGTCAGCTGGCCAGCTAGCAGAGTTATGACCTCTGCTGAGGATTTCACTCCTCCTGCAGCCCTAAAGACCATGCCACTTGACACATTCCTTTAAGCCTTTGCCATGCACCTGCTTGTGGTATTGGGGATCTAGGCACAGACCTCAACAATTTAGCAAAATGCTATTTCCAAATTTTAAAGATTGTTTTAAAAAGCTGAGGATGTAGCTCAGTGGCAGAGTGAACACAAGGCCCTGAATTCAGTCTTTACTACCTCACACGTACACAAAGATACCCCTTCTCAGTGGAGATCTCTGTACTCAAATGCTCTCCTCCTGGCTGTCCATGTCTCACAAAATACTCATCATTGCTCTTTCTACCTTTGTTGCTTACAATCCTTATCCAGTGACCAAGGTATGGATTAATAACCATAAAATCCCCACAGTGGCCTGGCAATTTTATGCTTCATGTATGTGATTGTGTCTTGTAAATGCTACATAGTAGCATATGTATTCCCTATAGGTTAAACGTTCATTTGTATTTCCTTATTTATATACTTACTTTTGTTTTTTTTGAGACAGAGTTTCACTATGAAGTTCAGGCTGGCCTTGAATTCACAGCAATCCTCCTGACTCAGCCTCCTGAGTGCTGTGATTTCAGGATGTGCCACCATGTCTGGCTATTTCTTTATTATTACTGTGTTTTAATCTACTTTTTTCCCTACCTTTGACAAACAGACTTTACAGTGTTTATATTTTCCCCTTTAGTGCATTCATATCATGAGATATCTTCTTGAATTTTTTGCATTTTTATCACTTTCTAATTTTGTGTTTGAATGGTGCTTTAAAGCTAAATGTGTGTATTAGTTTTCTGTCATTGGAACAAAATACCTGACACATAAACTTTAAAAGAGAAAAAGTTTACTTTGAAAAGTTCCTGTGTCCAGAGGTCTCTGTCGCTCTTTGGTGGCTGCAAGGCGGAAACTTCCTGGTGGCGGAATGCAGTGGAGGAGAGCTGCTCAGCTCACATGGCCGGGAAGCAGAGATAGCAAGAACAGAGCCGTCTGGAAGGGGCCCAGGACCAAATGATGGATCCCAGGGCTGCATCCCCTTGACCCACCTGGACACACCCAAAGGGTGCTTAAGGAATCTTCTAGGCCTCTCAGGTCAATCAAGCTGACATCAAGATTAACTGTCACATTGTATTACCTTCCTTTTCTTTGCATTTTTCTTGGCATGGCTTTATCTTCACTTTCATTCCCTAAGGATGGCACCTGTGTGCTTTGCCCTGTACAGTGTTCCCCATGCTCACCACAGTACAGTGTGGGCTCCAAAATTAATGGATGGTGAACCCTGTTTGCTTTCGGTAGTCACTGACCTCTTTAATTGTCATTTCAGTTATTTCTTGGTGTAAAGCATCTTTACCAGCTATAATGACTAGGTTTCTTCTCAGAGAATCCACAAGCTAATGAAGCCCACTCTTAGGGGGAACTTCTGGACTAATTCACATGTAGTGATTTATGATATATGCATTTACATATTTGTGATGTGTGCTTGTGCTTTGGAGGCAACATTTTAATTTCCAAATAAGTAGAATTTCTAATAATTTTACTGTCAACTATTTTTTTACTCTAAGCATGTTTGATAAACCTTTCTGAAATGTATTTTCTCCATGCATTTTCAAGGAGAGTCTCCTTCACTGAAAAGCAACTATGCAGTATGATTTCTGATCTGCTGTCCTGGGTAGCAGACACTGAAACCCGGCCCTTCACTGCCTACTCCCCGGTTGCCAGGCCCTTTATTCACTCACTGACAGCTCTGCCAGGGGCTGGCCTCTGCCTTTAGTTGGGGACTTCTTCTCTTTGGATATGCACAGCCCAGATGAAGGGTAGCCCACAGGGGCCAGTGAAAGGATTTTGCCCTAAATGGGACACTGCATCGGTGGGAGGCTGAGAGGCGGAAGGTCACCTTCCCCGCCCCTAGGCAATTTACCTGTGGCATGAAATGAATTCCAATGGGCTACCTGTGCATCAGTAATGCCCCTTAGACACCACCCCAAACCTAAGCTATACATATGTCCCTACACCATGTGCTGGCAGAGAGAAAGCCAGACCTCAGTGGTCAGGGCTTCTCTCTCCCCATTCTTAAAATAAAGGCCACTTTAATTTATATTGTCTTCTAACCGCGCTGAAAACTCTTTCAGCCAGAATTCTGACAGCTGTGGAGGCATGCCTCGCCAGTGGGAGCAGGAGGCAGTGGATGTGGGGACAGCCCTGAGCTGTAGTGTACACAGCTGGGACTGAGTCTCAGCTGCCTACAGTAGTACCTGCTTATCTCACCCACTCTGTGTCTTTCTTATCTTCCTGAGTCATTCCCTTCACTCCTTCGCTTTTATTTTCCAGAGTCTCCCCTTAACAAAACACACACAGACAGGCGCTTGTCCCCTGGGTCAGGTTTATGGGATCAGTTTAAACCAGTCAGGCCCTGCTGGGGCTGCCCTCAGGGATAGGGGGGCCTAGTTGTGGGAATGTGGTCTAGAGCTTCTCTTTATCCAGCCAGCTCTTCATGATATCAGTTTTCTTCTCTTTAGTATTTCCTTCCACTCTTTAATATTCCTTCCCCTGAAGACCAGAGAGGAAAAACTGTTGGCGGGCACACACCCTGGGTTGCTGTACATGCCACACTGCCACAGGGCCAGGGACACCTCACTGCAGCCCTGTCAGGAATGTCATGCAGGACATTAGAGAATGTCCTGCAGGACACTTGGAGAAGTTGTGACATGCGAAGTTTACAAGCAGAGGATGAAATGGGAGTTTAAAACAATATAGTTCTTCAGTCCCTGAAATCATTTCCTTATTGCCCTAGAAAAAGAAAACGTGAGAAGCTTAAGTGAAAATCTCTCCTACCAGTAACACTTTAAGAATTTGGTTTTGGAACAAGGAAATGTTTCCCATTTCTTAGCTTGCTTGCAACAGGTATAGGTAGACAGATGCAAAAAGAGAGAAGATGAACAGTCAACTAAAACTTTCAAGGCTGGATACTGAGTACTCAGAAACATGTGTCTACTGCAGCTCCAGCTGCCTCTGAAAATTTTATCCAATTACCAAGCATCCGATGCACCAGCCTTAGTGATGACAGAACTATAAGAAGAAAAAAAGAATGGATTTCTTCCCAGAATATATCAGATCCCAGGTTATTCCTCACTTTGATATTTGGAAACTTTTCTCCATAAATACAGCTATTTCTAACTGAGCATATTCACAGCTGGGTACCTGGTGCCCCTTCATATGCTAACTAGTGTCTCCTTCCACTCAAATAACCAAGTCAAGAATCTGCATGCCCTGCTACAAACTACTCCTGCCTAAAAATCCCCACCGCCATCTGGGACAATCATTTAATTTAATTATCTAAAAAGCACATTGAGTCCCATTCCCAGTATCACAGTTGCCCTTTAGCTGCCTGCTCTCAGTTCAGGGCTGCTATAACAATTTTACACAGTGACTGAGGCCCTAATGCTTCTCCATATCCCCATAGCACTGGGACTGTGGGACACAGTCAAAGGCTTCTGAGAAGCAGGGAGGATGCCAAAAACAAAGATGTCCTCATCCCATTGGGACTTAAGATGCTAAAAGAATCAAACCTATTCTTCAATAAGTTATGGACCATGAGCAATCCAGCTTGGATGGCTTACCTGACTGAGAACCAAGGTGAACATAAGAGCCATGGTTGGTCTGCTGGATCAGGCTTACACTATGGAGCCGTGATGGGAGAGAAGGATGGATGGACCAGAGAGAAGAGATCAGACAGCAATGCGGGCAGGCTCAGGAGCCATGGGGAAGGAGTGGCTCAGTAGAGCTGACAGCAAATTGCACTGTTCTCTTTAGAGGCTCCCTCATACAACTTGGTCTTTAAGTACCAGAGGCAAAGGGACTCTGGACTTTGCAAGACTGTTTTTATTGGCAGCCATAAACATCTGTTTCAAGCCAGGGTAGTAGGATAGGGCAGAAGGAGAGATTTGTTCTAGCTCTAAACTGTACCCTGGGTCGGTGGCATGGGAAAAGCAGCTGCAAGTATAGTTTTCTGTTCTAGTCTGGCAGATAGAGCAGTATGTAGAGTGGTGGGAAAGTATATAGTGCTGAAAGACAGACATCTCAGCACTGGGTAACAGTGTCTGCAGCAAACAGCCAAAGCTTCACCAAGACTCATGCATATGAGACCAATACTTCCTGGTGCAGAATGAAGCAATCCTGCCTATTTCTCCCTCGTCTTGAGTTTAGGACCAGAGTGTTGAAAGTCAGATGGGAAATAACTTTTGAGAACAAGATAGGACCTTGGTTTCCAAGCCTTCAAGCTACTGAGAAAGGCAGGAGGACAGGTTCTGGCATGCAGGGAAGGCGGAAACCTATTTGTTAGTTTCCCCAAGCCGCAAGACTAAAAGCGAAGGTAAGTGTTTTCAAACTCACGCTAACTCATACAGCTCACCTACCAGATCGGAATGGACAGACATAAACACAAAAGCATTCTATGACCATTAAGTAGCTGAGACAAAAAGAATTTCTGAAAATAGGAAATCCTATTAATCTGTAGGCCTGGTGTGCTGGCACATACCTGTTATCATAGCTCTTCAGAGGCTGAAGTAGAAAGATCACCATTTGTCTAAGAGTCTCCCAGGCTACATAGTGAGTTCAAGGACAGCCTGAGTTACATAGTATGATCCTGCCCCTAAAACACCAAAAGATTAAACTTACAATCCTATGAACCTGTAAACTCTTAACAATAGAATTTTTAAAATTTTTGACTAGTTATATACGTTAATGGATATATTATTGTGTTTTAATATACATTGTGAGAATATTAAGTACAACTATTAACACATGCATTTCCTGAAATATTTATAATAAAATAATTTTAATAACACCTCAGTCTAAGAGATTTCAATAAAAGCTGTAATATATTTAGAACAAAATAAGAATAAGAACTGTGTTCATCACTGCTTACACTGCTTGAACTCCAGATGAAAGAGAACTTATAAAAACTTGTAAAAACATTTGGCCCACCAATGTACCTATAGAAGTTAAAGTACTCAGGAAGCAATGGCTAAGAAACTGCCAGTAAATGTGTACCCTCTAATGGAAAAGTGAGTAACTCTTACCTTGGGATAGTCAGAAAATTGCACCTCCCCCTCCTTTGTGCTTATGTCAGGAGAAGGACTCAGATCATAAGACCAGATGGGGAGGACTTCCTAAAACAAGACGGGGTCTTGGTCTCTAGGAATTCAAGGTATTAAGAAAGGTCCCAGAGCAGTGTTTAGGCATAGGAGAAAGATGCAGTCCTTGGGCTGGATATCATTTGAGAATCTGGATTCTCAATTTGAGCATTTATAGCTGGGAGACACTTATATATACTCTGTCCTGCTGTACACACCATCTTACACACACACACACCTAAGCATTTTCTTTCATTGTATTCATGTCCATCTTCCAGCATTGTTTCCTTGTCCAGAACTCACACACCCATGCAATCTAAGAAATAAATCATGAGCAAACTTACAGGACCATAAAGCTTGCAAAAGAATGAGGGGGTGGGGTCAGGCAGTACCCTAGAAGGAGTCCTTTTTGGACTAATCCAAGAAATGTGGGGAATGCTGCTGTGAGAGGAGGGCTAAAACAGCTGTAGCCCTGTGATTGGTCCAAATTCAGCCTGCTTATAAGTACAAGTGCCAGCCTGTGATTGGTCCAAACAGATGAGGGAGTGCCCAGGACAATTGCGGCTGTCACAGTGGCAATTCAATGCAACATTGGAGAGATGCTGGCTATTTCACACCTGTCACATCTTCATAAAAAATGGTAGTGAAAAAAAATGATGGTGCCAAAACCTGAGAATCTTCAAGAGGGTTTGCTGTGTTCATCATCTTACTTTACTGGGGCTTCAGAGTTTAAAGGTGTTAAAGAATGGGCATGGATTGCTCCCTGATCTGTACCACAGTATGGGCATTTCTTTTGTCTTTTCTTCAGAGAGGCAGTAGTTCAAAGCATGGAATGTGGGACGGGCAACATGGCTAACTAGCCACATTGTACTTCCCATCAGGGTGGTCTGGAGAGTTAATGTGAAACAACTTCAAGAAGACATTGAGCTCAGAGGCAAGTTGCTCCATCAACTCTCCAGTGCCCAATGGGGAACAAAAGGAAGCAAGAGGGAGGGGCATAATAGCTACGGGCCAAACTGCAACCCTGTCTTGCTAGTACCAGAGAAAGGAGTTAGATGTTTCTCCTATATCTCACACTGTGCCCCTAAAAGTGGAAGGATACAGGCCTAGACATGAGAGGACCTTCTGAGACACTGGAATAGGAGTTCCTAAAACTCACATTTTTGCTGCTTTCTAAGCTTTTGCCATGGGCTGGTGTCATGGTTTATGTCTGTGGCCCCCATGCCTCATGAGTTTGCATTGTGCATTTGTGATTGGTTCATTGTCTAGTGCTTGGATTGAAGGTGTCAGTGCTACACCCACATAGGGGTGGAGCCAGGATGTGATGTAATGGCAGGAAGAAGGTGTGTCTTGCTCTCTTTGCTGATTCTTGCTTGCTATTTGGAGGTGTTAGTCCAGGGTCTTGATTAGAACCTGGTCATCCTGGTGAACCTTCAGCAAACAATTATCCTGGGAGCAGGAGAATCTTATTTCCATATTCCTAGAGAACCTACTGGAAAGTTCCAAGGTGGGAAACATGCTGGAGGAGCTTGGAAGTTTTGTAGTCAGTAAATAGACCAGATGTTAGAAATAGCCTCTTGGAAGGCACTGGCTGAGATAATCTTTGGATTTGGGGACAGTTCTACATATACGTGTGTGTACATGTATGTTACTGTCTTGATTCTGGTAAGTGAAGAGAGCCCAAGTGAGGACAACAGATTCTACCTTTTGGGGTAAGATATCAGGAGAGGGTCCCTTTGTTTCAAAGACTTGAGTTGGGGTAATTGTGGCCTAACTTGCCCTAACACCACCCATTATGAAACTGCTGCCTTCAGTGACCCATACGCTTGCCTTGCCTGTCAGTGGCTGCTCCCTCAGATGAGGATGGCTCACATAATTCTGGGCATGGTTTGTTCACTTGTGTCATATCTGTTAGTTAGTTAGGAAGATGGTGCTTTTTAAAGAACTGTCCAAAACTGAAGGGAGGATGTCTGGGTTTTCAATAGAATGGCCCAATATTCAGTGAACCTTTTCCAGTCACCCACAAATGTTCCTTGAGTTCTAATAGTGCCTTAATCTGGTGTGGAGTTAGAACTGGGAGCTTTTGTCTCAATGTTATCTTAGAAGTTTCCTAGACTGAGTGCCATAATAGTTATTTTTCATGGACACTCAGCAACCATGCATCACGCCATCTAGTCATGTGGAAAAGTAGGCAACTGTCTGGTTTTCTTGGTCCAGAATTGGGTTAGTATTCCACTGGCTATATACAATTATACACTATGAATTTCACTAAGAGCCTTGAAAACAGATAAGGGCTATCTTTAAAACTGGAACAAGACAGTCTAAATATACTGTTGGCAAAGTCACATTTGGGGACCCTCCCAATCAAAGCCAAACAAACTTGGGGGGCTAAGGCTTACAGGAATAGAAAAGAAGATATCCTTAAGACCAAGGACGGAGAATCAAGTAGGGTCTCCTGGGATCTGTGCAAGGATGGTGGAAGGGTTGATTACTAAGGGGTGAATAGGTTCCACTACTTTATTGATCCTGAGATCTTGTACTAGGCAATATTCTCCCACTGGCACAACTACTGGTAAAATGGGTGTACTGTACGGGAACACGGGAACTGACATGACACTGGCAATCCTGTGGCCAAAAATTTATCAACAATGGGCTTTACCCCATCTAATTTCTCTTTAAAGCAATACTGCCTTATTTACAGGTATACATTAGTAGCTCATTGAATACTGGAGTGACTTTGCCAGCCCTCCCCAAGGTGCCATCATACCTATGTTTGGGGATCAACTCCTAGCAGAAGCCAGATGGGTCCCTAGGCACTAGGTCATGGGCTCCAGAGGTTTGAGTGGCCCAGAGTAGAAAAAGTACACCTCTTCCAGTTACTGGTAAGGAGCACTGGGGCATTACTATGAAGGAAGACTGGAAAAGGCAATCTCCCAACTGGCCATTCAGGGTGGGGGTAAAGAAATTTTAACAGTTAACTCCTTCAACTCCAGCAACTGAGGAATGGGATGATAATTCACCCAATAAGAGGACAGAATTAAAATACTCCAGTATCACAAAGGAGTATAATCTGTTTGTCTGCTACATTATTATTCAGGCATAAATCCAAGTGAAATCATGACAATTACAGGAAAAATGGTTGGACTTAGAAATCATCATGTATGTAATCAAAATAACCTAGCCTCAGAAAGTCAAACAATACATGTATTTCCTCTCATGTGTGCAATCAGTAAGGGAGAGGAAGAGACAGGGTCAGGAAAATGGAAAGAATTCTAGAAAATAGAGATAAAAGGGTAAGGGGGGTGATGAAGGTGTGAAAGTACTTGAAATGTGGTATGTACACACACACCAATATGCCAAAATGAAACTTGCCATTCTATGTAAGACACACTAATAAAATAAAAATTAAGTTATTCTTCCAATCATTTCACTTTTTGCAGAACTGATGTTAATCATCCAGAAGATGAGACAAAAACTGTGATCTTCAAACTTCATTAAAAAAGATGTATTAAGCCGAAACACTACAGCTTAAGGGATCTCTGAAATTAAGTTTACTGAGTCATTACAAATGCTAGCCTGTAAAACAGGACAAGGTCTTGGGACAACTTCCCACAACTACTGCCGCAGAGTCAAGTCAAATTGGAAAATGCCCATATGACCAGAGAAGAATTTGCTCCTTGCGTTATTGAGTTTAGGATTTCAATGTAAAAGAATGTGGAGCAGTTTTGTGAGGTTTGGGAGGATTTTCGTTTGTTATTTTTTTATTAAGCTGTTAGCTGTTTTTATCTCCTAGTCTGTAACTGCATTTAGGGCATCTCAGAATTTTACCTTTATTAAATGATACGATTTAAAAGAATAACATATTTAAAAGTAGGGTAAAATTCCATGAGGCACGCGGAATGAAAGTATTTTAGATAAGATAGAATTCCCATGAACATAAAAATTAAGGTAAACACCGAGAAAGATGTAAAATTTCGGTTACAAGCAGGCGAGTGTCGAACTTGACTCGAACTCCCCTGGCAGCAGCCGTGGGCCTCGGGGTCTGCAGCCGAGGCCTGCATGGGGCGGCGTTCGGGGCGTTCGCTCCTCAGGGCTTCCGGCCTTTCTGTCCCCCAGCGCCAGGCAGCTCAGCCCGCAGCCGGGTCACTTACGGCGGGGCTGACGGAGAGGACAGGATGTTTGACTTGGACCCTTGACTTATTCATTACCTACACCCCGCCCTGACCCCACGCGGGAAGGAAGACGCCACAAACACAAGAAACGCCGCCGGCGACTTCCAGGTCGCGCCCCGCCGAACGAGGCTGCCGGCCGTGACACCGCAGTCAGGGGCGCTTTCCACTCTCCCAGGCGCGGGCGCCGAGCGCTCGCAGTCACGTGCTCGAAGGAAGACGCGCCATCGAGTCGGTCCTCCCGTGTCCTAGAGAGGGCTCGGAAGTGCCTGGGGCCCGCGAGAGCGCTTCCGGCCTGCCGTCCGCGCTTTTGTCCCGCCGGCGGCCGGGCTCCCGGGGCGCCGCCACAGCCAGTACGTGAGTCCGGGGACACCCGTGCTTCCGCCCTTGGGCCCGGTCTGCCACGCCCTTTCCTTCTGGGCTAGGTCCAGGCTGCCCCATGGGTCTCGGGCGGGCTCTGGGAGAGAACGAGCCTTGCCCCACACATCTCGGAGGAAGGCTCGGGAGGGCCTAGGGGAAGAAAGACCCTGGCCTGGCCCGTGGAGGGGGGCGCTGGCACCGCCCCGGCAGCCCAAGGGCCTCGCTCTGCTCCCCGGCAGGCGGGGGTCAGCGTAGGTTTGCTCGGGGCCCCGGGAAGGCCAGAGTCTCGCCCCCGTGTTCCTCAGCTGCCCATTGCTGTCTCGGCAGAGGAGGGAGCAGAATCTCGAAGATTAGCTCTTTACGACACCGCTCTGTCGCCCCCCGTGGCAGTTAAGTTTGGCCTGGGGACTTAGGAAGTTCAGCGCCAGAGGGATAGTTAGGGGCAATGTGGTCCCACCCTGTCATCCCCTTTTTCGGTAGGAGAGTTGCTGCTGGTGTGGCCGGAGCCCCCAAAGAGCGTGCCCGGCCCTCGCCTTGGGGGAGCTGCGGTGTGCGCGAACGCGCGCTGCCGTGCTGAACAGGGAGCGGGACGTGGAGGAGGCCCCACGACGCCGGGCCGCAAAGCGGGGATGTAGAGAGGGCGGCGCGCGCGCGCCGGGCACGGGGTGTAGCGCCAGCACCCGGCGGGCTTGCTGCGATGGGCTTAGCCCGTAGGGGACTTAGCCCATAGGGGTATTGGTATGTAGGCAGGACTTAACTATTATTTAACATAATTTTTGAACGTGTAATACCTTCAGCATGGCTTCTATATTGAAAAAAAATACTAAAAAGTTTGTGGAAAGATTTTCATAAGTGTAAAATGTAATTAGTTCCGCCCTTATTTTGACAGGTGTTAGAATACAAACCTGATTGCCCTGTTGCTTCTACCAACCGTTATTATATTGACAATATTACTACTAGACTATTTTACTAGAAGACAGCAAGTTCGTTTTACATTGCTGTGGTATTGGACTGGTCACTGTTTAGATGTTTTGGATAGATGATTTTAAATCTATACGGGGACATTTGAGTTGTTTCTTTTTTTGTTTTGTTTCTTTTCCAATTCTGAGGATAGAACCCACGGAATGCTAAACTATACCGATTTTTTTTTTTTTTTTGAGAGCATCTCAGGTTATCCCAGGGTGGACTTGAACTTCTAATTCTCCTGTGTCAGCCTTCCCTATAGCTGGGATTGTAGGAGAGCCCTGCCTGGTTGTCCCAACTTCCAACTTTTTTTTTTTTTTTTTTTTACCTTAAACAATGGTATATTGAATGGTTTTGTTCTAGGATAAGGTTGTTAGATTGTTATGTGGTACTGGGGGTTTCGTACTGAGCTACATCCCCAGCCCTTTTTAAAAAAATTTTTTGAGACAAGGTCGCACCAAATCACTGAATCTCTAAATTGCCCAAACTTGGCTTAATTTGTGCAGTCCCTACTCAGCCTTCCAGACATTCCACTACAACTTTTAAAAGGCCTCAACCTTCTGTAAGGATCTTACCGACATCCGCAGTTTAGGAGAAGAGATTTTTGTTTGTTGTTTCGAAGGAGTAAGACAGGGTATTGGTATGTAGTCCAGGCTAATTTTGAACCCACTGCCTCAGCCTCCAGAATGCTGGGATCATAGTCATGTGCCCCCATGCCCAGCAGGTATTACGCAGTTCATTTTTTGTTTACATTAACTCAGCCATTTATTGGCAGATTGTTAAATATGTCAAGTGGTTATTATATTTGTGTAGTATAAAACAAACACAACTAAGTAAAAACCAATCTTTTTCTCCCAAAACTTGTTTATGATACTGAGTTCTACACTGGCCTAGTAGGCTATTCTCTTCAAGCTAGTCCCTTCCCCCTTAGCTTCAGAAAATCAGCTTGCCTTTCAGATTTTCCTTTGGTTACTTCCTTCTTCTGTGGAACAACTATAAATCTCTTCTCTTTTATGAGATATGAGATATTAAAATATTCCATATTCCTTTTTTTTTTTTTTTGGTAAGCTTAGGGGGAAAGTCACCTTTGATCCTTATTTCTCCTTTTGAGGAATAGAAACAACTCGTGTTAACCATTTACAATTCTCATATCCGTAAATTCCAAAATAACAGGAACGCAAGTCATACTTCTTTACTTTTGCTTATGTCACTTCTTTCACTTACTTGTTAGTCCCAACTTTGATTTGCCCAAGTATTCCTTCTTTTGATTTGGTAATCATTTTGTGGTCACATTCCTTTATTTTTGTTTTTTTCTCTATCCATTTTCAAGTCAAATAAAAATATTGAAGAATCCCAATGTGATACCTTAAATAGTAGGTTGCCTTGTAAACTATGGGTGGACTCTAGAAATTCAGAGGCGTTGCTCGAGTGTTGTGCCTGTTTTTCCTTGCAGTCTTAGTAGGAAAGGATTTCCAGCCAGTTTGAGCCACACTTGCTTTGGGAAATTGAGTAGACTCTTGAAAAGTGACTCCTGTCTGGAGCAAAGACAAGAATTAAGGATAGGTTCTTACTGTCTGTATTGAACTTTTTTTTGTTTGTTCATTTGTTTGAGACAGGGTCTCTATAGGTGTTTAGGCTTGTATTCCAGGCAGTCCTCCTGCCCAGCCTCCGGGGGGCTGGGATTACAAATGTGGGCCACCATGCCAGACTCTGTGTGAACTTTTGTAGGCACTGATGATAGAATGTGAACAAGCACAGAAATGACCAGAGGTGTGAGGCAGGGAGAATGTTCTGTGGTTGACTTTTGACTGATGGGACTGGGCACATAACTATCATGCTTCCTTGTTAAAAATTGTCTAGAGTAGGACTTCCTGTTTAGCCTTTAGAACTTTTAAGAAATTCAATCTTTTCTTGCTCTCTGTGGATGAAGTATGATTTTGGAGTAATTCCTTTTTTGTGTCATACAGGAGACATGACAGCCACCACAAATCTTTATTTTTTTTTTTTAATAGTAACCTTCTGGAACTCCAGGTCTTGGTTCTCCTTTCAATCCATTTTCCTACTGCAACTAATACAAATGATCTTTGTTTTTCAAATATTTTTTTCTTAATGAAAAAACATACAGGAGAGCAGAGTACTACAAGGAACTGCCATAAAACCATCACTCAAATTCAGTAGTTTCAGGAATCTGTTCTGTTTGTTTTATCTTTACCTTTTTATTTATTTCTTCTTTGAGGTATCTTCAAGAAACTTAAAGACACTATGGCATTTTACTTAGTATACTTCAGTTGGTATTTTTTTTAAAAAGGCATAATACAATACCATTATCCCATCTTAAATTAACTTTGTTTTCCTGATGTTACATAACAGAGGTTGGTAAACTTCTAGACTGTAATCTGTTCTTGTATGAAGAACAGTTTTTATATTTTTAAATCAGCCTTCAAAAAAGATAGTAGCCATAAGCAACAGTCTTATATGGCCCATAAAGCTTTTACTATTTGTTATCTAGCCCTTTACAGAAAATGTTCACAGCCCCTGATTTAATAAAATAAGTGACCTTCCAAGATACATATTTATATTTGGTACTCCTTTGCCTAAAACTCCTGAGAGTCGAGTCTGTACTCCTTCCTGTGAGTAACCCCCTGGTGCTGCCCTTACTTTAGTTTGCCTGTTAAGCTTTGCCCATTGCGCTGTAGGTCTGAAGGGTGGTGAGCTTAAGTTGCTTTGTGCCTGCTCTTTCCTTTGCTGGGAATACCATCTCCTTCATGAAACAGTCCTTTAGGGCAGAGTCTATCCTTTTCCCTTCTCCCCCATCTGTGCTTATGTTTACCTCTGTCAAATGCTCTTAGTTTGTAGGCACTTTGATATCTAGACCTTCTCTTATGTCTCTGTAAATTCCCAGACTAGCCTAGGGCCTGGAATAAAAAGTAAGATATTGGGTTCCTGGTATAATACTCCGCATCAGTGATAACTGAGATTCTAGAATACATCTTCAATATTATTTATAAGGATGAGTACATTCTCTTGTTTGCCTCTATATTAGCAGCATTTACTGCAGTGCTAGCCTAGTGATCTGCCTATGTTTCTGTTTGTTTGTAGTACAGGGATCAAACACAGGGCCACTTTCCTGATCAACAAGTGCTATGCATTGCCTGTCCTATTGCTTTTTTTATTTTGAGACCAACTTGCTCTGTTACCCAGATTGGCATTGTGATCCTCTCTTACCTCAGCCTTCTGAGTGATTGAGATTGCAAGATGGATCACCACACCTGTGTTTTGATTGACCTTTTCTTAAGTGTTGGAATTTACTAATGCAAATTTCATTTCAAGCTATGTTTCCAATTAATTCATACATTTATATTGATCTTTTTTGATTTCATTCAATTAGAGAGTGAACTGAACTACACTAAATGATGGCACTGTGCCTCTAACCAAAGAGAAGAGGTTAAGCGGAGGCTCTGACTAGGTTAGAGAGGTAAGCAGTGAAGTACTTGTCATTTCATGAAGATGAACCCCAAAAGACATGGAGGGGACTAAAATATCCTATCAAAGAGTTGAGAGAAGCAGCAGGCCTAGAATCAGTGAGTGCTGTGGCAGTGATGGGTGAGTTAAAATGGCCCCATTGGCTGTTCAAGGAGTCAGCTCACACATCTGGATGCAGGAGCCTTGGCTTTCAGGAGTGTGTTTGTTCTATGCTGCTCTAATAAAATAGTACAGACTCATAATTTTCACAATGAATGCAGTATTTCTCCCAATGTCAAATGGTGGGGAGTACCTTCTTGCTGGGTGCCTGTGCAGTGGAAGGCATTATATGGCAGAAGAGCAAAGAAGAGAGAGGCAAAAATGAGGCTGAGCTGTTTTTTTTTTCTTTAATTGTAAGCAGCCCCCTTCCATGATTAACCTTCATAGCCGTCTCACCTCCTAAAAGGTCACACTTCTGACAGGCATGGTGGTATGCTCCCATAGTTCCATCCAGAAGGCTGAGGCAGGAAGATCCCTTGAGCCCAGGCCAACTTGGGTGGTGGGGAAG